GTAAAATGAAGTTTTCCCTTCGCAGTTATGGTAATATGTTGATTTCAGCAGTTATGTAAATAATCTAAACTATCTCAAAAGAGGAAGAAGGAAGACAGACAGACAGAGAGAGAGAGTAGAGGGGGGGGGAGGAGGGAGGTTTCGTTTACATTTGGAAGATAAATTTCGAAAATAATTTTTAATGTGTAAACGAGGATAGATATATTTTAGTCTTAAATAACTGTCCGCAATTCGATTACGGTTGATATCCTTAGTCCCACGAGTTTATGCGGCGGCGCCGCATTAGATCATCATAGATATATCCGACGAATCAATTGGTTTCCATCTCGAAAATGGTTCGCTGGCGCCATAATCAGGAGTATAACGTAATCTCGCGCGAGCGGTGCAGTTTGCAGTGAGTGAGTTGCATATTGATGATCGTATTGACGGCTGAGCACTCAGAGAGCAAAGGGTCGCATTTATGATTGCCATGCGGTATGTATCGCGCTATAGTCGGCGGCGCGTGCAGAGAAATTTACACCGATTACGGTGTATTTATTTCGACGCTCGTTACCCGCGAACGAGCGGGCATTCCCCCATTTATAATTCATCGCGGATCGCGGGTAACATCAAACACACCGAGTATCACTTTTGCAAGTTAGTAGTAGTGCATTTAGAAAATTGCATCCGGCGACCGTGTTTTACTCGCTGTAATTCGCTGGAACAATTGTTTCTGCGTAACTGACCATTCGTTTATGGGAATAATATTATTGGCAACGTATATATACTACCCTTCGGTATTCAGTTAGCAATTTATTTCGCGTTTGGCTCGCGTTTAAACAGAGATTGCGAGCGACTTTCATTATGAAGAGGACTTTGCCCGGAGAAGTGAATGCATATTTCCGTTAAATTTATGATGAAAGTTTCGAATCGCGCGGAAATAAATCACTGCGAAATATTAATTAAATAAATCCCGACTGAACTGCGAGTTTGAATGAACGAGCTAATTATTCCCTTTTAATTATTCTAATTTGTTTAAGTTTTTTCTTTTCTTTTTTTTTTCTTTTTTTTTTTTTTTTTTTCTTAACTGGCACACGTTAACACATCCTGAGAGTTGCTTTTTGAGGAAAGGAAAATTCTTAAATCTTAAAAAAATAGTCCTCGGGTAATTGGAGAGCTAATCACGACTCTGAACAAACAGCAAGCAGGCGGTAATATTTCACGCGGCCGACGTTCCCGCCAAAATTCGTCTTGTTCTCGTCACCGACGGAGCTTTTCCTCTTGGCTGCAAAAGCAAGGGACGATGGTCCGAGTATTTGCGAAACGAAAGCGCAATTCAAGACCCGCTATCCCGTTTCCTCTCTCGATGAAACTCTCCTCTCTCTCTCTC